CACCAAAGACTTATAAAAACTTCTTAAATCAGTAACATATCCTACATATGATGTTAAGAAGAAAATATAATTTAATTATATTAAAGCAAGACAGTTTTATTAGCTGTATTATCTAAAATGAGGAAATTTTGGACTATAACTCTAAAAGACCAAAGTTATCACTGAAATATATATTTGAAGCAAGGGGCAAAGTTCCCATTGATGGGAAATATGTTCTTTTAAGTGAATAAATCCCCCATCAATGTAAAGCTTAGGAAATATGATTTTTTTCAACTAAAGGCAAAATTTTTACCCTGGGATATTTTTTAAAAGTCTTTTAAGGGCGGCCAGATAGCTCAGCAAATTAAAGCACCTGCTTAGGCAGACACAGGGGTCAGAGGTATGAGATTGGGTGTGGTGGCACGCGCCTGTCATCCCAGTGCTTGGAAGGCTGAAAACAGGAAGGATCGATACAAGCCCAATCTGTGTAGTGAGACCCTGTAGACTCTGTACTAAATACATTAAAAAAAAATTTTTTTTAATTTGGGCTTAACTTAAAATTTTTTAAGTTTTTAAAATCAATCACTTTGAGAGAAAAATGTAAAGCCTTCTTTTATTACAGAATCGGGTGCTCTGTGGGCCACAGGAGGACCGCAGGTGGCGCCCACCATAATCCACTTACAAACCAGCGCACGAGCTGCTGCCAGCTTCTCCTGAGGCAGGACGAGTAGCCCATACCAAAATGGCCTGTTTTACCAAGTTGGAGGTGGTCCTTTCCCTCCTTGATTGTTTTTATGAAGCCTTTGAGTGGGAAGGAAACCTTGTCCCAATATCTGATGCATGACCAAGGAGTTAGGACTAAACAAGAACGTCCCCATGTGCTGTGACACGTCACGACACCATAGAGTGACTGGTGCACAGCAGAGGACCTAAGGTGAGGTGCATCCAGGACGGCCTTCAGGTTAGCAACTTAGCCGCTTTGCTAGGGTGAGAAACCCTCCCACACGCTGTGGCCCTGCAGTTACCACGCCCGGAGGCCACCACATCTGTGTCCAAAGCCCTCTGTGATGTTTTTCCTTTAAAGAATTATCCATCTTTGAACCTAATAGGTACCTGAAAACCCAAAATCCTTGGATCATCTTTCCTTATGTACAGATTTTAATGTTTATTTGTTTGCTTGTATTCTTTGGAGATTTTTCCATTTTTGTCAAGGGAAGATTGACCAAGTGGGCAATATGAGAGTCTGCGGTGATTCGAACAGTGTTTCCAGTACATTGAATCGTAACCTTGATTTCTTTTGGTATTTTGGCTCACTGCCTGGGATGCGCTGCATGGCCCAGGCCTCCTCCTGAGAGGACAGGGCAGCGAGTGCCCCTCCTCCCGAGAGGGCGGGGATTACCAACGTTACCCCTGGCTTTCCCTTCCTCTGATCTGGATGGATAAAGCTCCTGTGGCTTCCAGCTCAGCACACAGTGTTAGGCACTATGGGCATGGCTGGCTGGCTAGCAGGCTGTACATCGATAGCACCCAAGAAGTCCCCCTGGGCACCAGCTCGGTGGGCGGAGGAGGGGGCCAGGGATGTGCGCAGCCATTGCCCACTGGCTGACCACTCTACTCTGGCCACTGCGTGCCCACAGCTGCCAGGACTCTCCATGCAGGTGCCGCAGTGCTGTCAACTCTGGCAACAAGCAGCGCTCACTCAGGCCGTGGGGAAAGCCAGGGCACGCCAAGCCACATCCTGCCTACCTGGCCCCGTGCACCAGGCTTATGGTTGGTAGTGTGGGCCAGCGGCTGCAGCTGGGCAGAGAGCAAAGCTGCGCGGGCGGCCAGGAAACCCCAGCAGAGTCGCCCAGGACCAGAGCTCAGGGCCTCCCTGCGCCCAGCCCACGTCCCTGCTGGCCGCAGTGCCGTGCCATGCTGGCTGTGGCACACAATTCAAAAAAAGTTTCTGTATCATGGTGTTACCTGTTTCTGTCTTTGTTTTGGCTGTTTTTCTTTTTATTCTTCAGAATAAAATAAAACATTGTTTTAATTGCTTTCTTTTCTATCTGATTGAGCAAAGCTGGAGGGCTTAAGCTCTATTACTGGGGCTGCTTCTCTGCCTGCCCCATCATCAAGAATTGATTTCAAAATACTGCTCTGCATCAATCCTTTGTGATTGTAAAGCCCCCTCTAAGCCAAATCCACAAAAGGAAAGTACACACAGAAATTGAGCGTATAACAAATACCTCTACATACATATACATCTGTGGTTCTCGAGACTGTTTGCCCAATTATAATAACTGGTAAGTCAATACATCTTTTTCCTTGTGGCTTGTTACGCTTTTTTTCTTTCCTTTGGGCCCTTACGAATGCTTTTTGCCCCAGCTTTGCACCTGATGAGAGGCCAGTACCAGCGCATGTCTATGACGGATACTGGTGCGGCGCCCTTCTCCCCACTGCTTCATGCACACCGAGAAGCGTCCCCTCACCCCTTGCTGTTCCTTACCTTGGATCATGTCCCTGCTCATGCCACCATTTGCTGCGTCCCACACAGCTCATAACGTTCCTGGGGGCAGGGGGACGGTGAGAGGACTGAGAAATAAAGATGAGACCAAAAGCTGAGGTCAAGTGGAGGGAGCCCTCTCACTCCAGATGGGAGGAAAGGAACCAGTTTGATCATCATAGGCACATTTAGTTATACATTTGACAAAGTTAGAGTCCCATGACATAGGGCTGCCTGGCAGTTAATGGCTGGGCATGCTCATCTCAGGCAAGGTGTTTCTCTGGACTGAAACAGCGGGCTTCCTCTGGCTCCTCTTCCTCAGACCAGCCTTGCCTTGCCCCAGCTCGTGTGATCAGCTTCCAGCCTAGCCGCTCCCCGCACCTCGTGACTGACAGCAAAAGCTCACTGAAAGGGCTCAGTTCAACAGCCACGCAGTGCACGCCAGTAATCCCAGCACTCAGGGAAGCTGAGCCCGGACAACCGGACCAGGCTGAAGCTTGGCCTGGGCGACTCAACAATTTATCAAGATACTGTCTCAAAGAGAAAAAAGCAAATGTCTGAGGAAGTAGCTCAGTATCTGAAGGCCCTGAGTTCAGTCGCTATTACCATCCTACTGAGCACAAGCTCGTTAGGAGGCTCACAGGAGAGCACAGTGTCACTCCCTCAGGATTCAGGTGCAGGCGTCATTGCGGAGGCAGAGAGCGGCTTCACCAGACACGGACCCGGCTGATGCCTTGGCCTTGGCTCAGAGGATGAGGAGCAAATTTCTGTCACTTATAAGTTACCCAGTCACTGGCATGTGGTCAGAGCAGGACAGAAACAAAGACAGGCAGCCAGAAGACACGGTCACAGGCACTGCCCAAGGTCCCAGCGCAGGGCTCTGTCTCTAAGCAGAGGATGAGGTCCCCACAGGAGGCCCCACAAAGGTCACCTGGGAAGAAGCAACAAGAGCTGTCAGTGTGGTTGCAGAGTGCTGGGAAGTAAGGCTGCTAGGCTGACTCCGAGTGCCCCACACGCCTGCACCCCAGCCTGTGTGTGGGCAAAGTATTGAGCCAGCCTAGGCGACTTAGCAGGATAGCAAGGCCTGCTCGCAAAATAAAAGAGCGACAGGATGTAGCACACTGTGACGCCCTGGCTGCAGTCCACAGTACAAAAACAAAAAAGACCCTTCCTCAAAATTCAACAAATTTTGATTGTTTTTTGTTTGGTTTGTTTGGTTGGTTGGTTCATTTGTTGGTTGGTTTTTTTGATTTTTTTGAGACAGGCTCTCACTTGCAGCCCAGGCTGGCCTCACACTTGCAGAGCCTTCTGCCTCCTGCACTGTAGGATGACAACTGTGCCCCACCACATCAGGCATAAGAAATATTTTTATGCTACAAATATAACTCAGTGCAAAGACTTTGGACTCAATCCATAGTACTGGGGGGAAATGAAGATCTAGGGTCCAGGGGCCGCATCTGGCCTGGCCTTCCCACTGGAAGGGCTGTGTAGAGTTCTGAGGTGGCCCAGGGCATTGCGGCAACATGGTGCAAACAAGCCCTCACTCCTGAGTGCCCACGGCCATCACAGTCCAGTGGCCTCCCACAGGAGCCACCTCCCTGATACCTCAATGCCTGCTGATGGGGGCTCGGGGTCAACGCATCAGCTGTGGGGGGCCTTATCGATGGCAGAGAAGGAGTACTGAGCCAGAGCAGTGTACGGAGCTCCACCTGGCCCCGGTCTGCATCTCACGCCCCCGCAGGACCACACAGCCATGGTGACCCCAGACTGCAGCTGGTCAGGGCCAGCTCATCTCCACCACCAGGATCACTGCTTCTCCTCCTGCGCCTTGTCCCTCTTCTCAAGAACCACAGCTCCACTTCTGAGGACCACATTAGGGTGTGGGCATCAGACATGTGAAAGGCGCCCAAAGAAGGCGCTGCTCTAGTCTGAGGAAAGACTTTCTACTGCTGGGGCAGAAAGTCAGGATACGGACAAGTTCTACTGGCAAAACAAAAAAAGCCTTCTATATTTCACAAAGTATTAAAAGGAGCATCTGGACTAGCTCAGCGGACTCAAGCGCCTGCTTAGACAAGTGCAGGGACCGGGATTCAATCCCCGGGGCCACATGCCACACAAGCCCCACCCCCTGGTGGGCTGAGCTAACCACATTCCGGGTGTGGTGGAGCAGGCCTGTAATCCCAGCACTGGGGAGGCTGGAAACAGGAGGATCACTACAAGTCCAAGCCGTGTAGTGAAACCCTGCTACAACCAAATATATTTTTTAAAAAGGAGCATCAAACCAACATTCATTTAAAAACAAAAAGTGGCCTCCGTGTTGCCCTAACACACGGCAAGCACATCTCACTTCTCTGCTGCCCTCCCAAGCTGTGGCAGGTGCAGGACTGAGTAGTCCAGCCAGGCTTAGATTAGGCAATCAGCACAGCGACCAGGCTGTGGCGTCCGTCCCCAGGGCCTTGCCCAGCAGCTCCTGCTGGGAAGGCTCCGTCTCCCTGCCAGGCTTGCCCAACCAGCCTGGGTCTGCCCTCCGCTGCCTGCCCAGGCCTGGGCCTGGTGACGTTCTCCTGGCTGAGCTCCCACCCTGGAGGGGAAGGAACAACTCCCTGAGGCTTCCTACTGAAAATATATTTAGTAACTTCTAAACAAATCTCACTGACTCTCTCAGTTTTATTTGTTTAATCAAATTAATTCTATTTTAATATTTCCATTAGCCATTTAATTTATTCTAAAACCTGGCACTGCAAAGTAATAAAACTTCTCAAATATTGACAGACAGTAGAGTAAATGTTGTCCAGCTACAACCATCTGTTCTTCTTCTGAATTCCTCCGGACGCAGAACCGCTGCCTGGGGTGACTCACGGCCTGCCCAGGCTTTCCTCCACCTGAGCTGCCAGAGCTGAAGGAAGCAGAAGCCTGGGTGCCTAGGACGAAACCTGCCCCAAACAGCAAGGGAGCCCAGGCTCCAAAACCGGGTAAGCTGGTTGGTGTATCAAGCTTGCCACCGGCCCCAGCACCAGCAGCCCCAGGAGCCGCTAGCAGGCAGTCTGGAAGCGATCGCTGCCCCCTCAGGCCCTCAGCTCTCCACTTACTTCCCTTCCAGGAGGAGAGGCAGGCCTCCTACTTCCTGCCAGCCTGGCCTGCAGAGGGGAGGGACAGGCAGGGCCACGGGAGGCCAGGCTGCAGCTCACTCCAGGGATCTGCTGTGTCGCAAGGTGACAGAGGGCAGGTGCCCCCAGCCACCTACTGGCAGCTATGTGAGACAGGTGCAGTGCAGAGGTGAGACTGGACAGGGCCAGAACAGGTGCCAGCCAGGCACTCTGCTCATGACAACAGCAAGCCCCAGGTTGCCACATGGGATGTGGCATACATTTACCCTGCCCAGCTGGACCTGGCCTGCTTTGGGTGCCCAGAGGGCACCAGCAATGCCAAGAACATCAGACACCAGCATCTGCGGGGACACAGGCTGTCACCTCGACCTCTCTGCTCTGGTCAGATTCCCCAGGCTGGGGCCAGCAGGGCCACATGGCTCCACCCCCACTCCCCAGCTGCAGTGCCTGCGAGTGTCGCTGCTGTGCACACAGCACAAGAGCCTGCAATTCCTCTCCCACCGCTGCGCACCGCCAGCGGCCAGATTCCAGAGGCGTGCTGGGGCCAGGCTGCTCGCCCTGGCCACCCTCTGGGCTCTCGTGCCTCCCTGCTCACTTGCTTTGCCTGCAGCCCTGCAGCAGGGTCACCCTGCTGGAATGCAGGCCGCCTGGGACTGCTGGAGTCCTGGAGGTGAAGAGGCCAGCCCGTGATTTTGCCAGCCAGTGTGAAGGTCAACTTGCTTCAGGGCTGGACGGAGGTGCCTTGACAACTCTGAACCTGTCCTGGTGCTGGGGTTCCAGAAGAAAGCAGTAGCAGCCACTCAGCCTGCTGACCAGGAAGTGGCCCAGGAAAAGAGGGCAGTATGAGTGACAGGTCAGAAGATGGAGCAGGCCCTCAGTTCTGAGAATCCCACCAGCCTGCTTGGCTGGGAAGGGTGGAAAGGAAGGCCAGGGCCTACCCTGGGGAAGACTTGAGCCTGAGAGCAATGGGCAGCCACAGCAGGTCCCAGCCTGCAGGGGCAACGCCCCCTGACTTTAAGGCTCCAAGGAGGCGCTGCCTAGGGGAAAGGGCCAGCTGCAGAAGGCCTGGAGATGTTCTCTAGAAAAGACCTATGTCTTTGGTCTGTGGGGCCCACAGGCAGGTCTTGAGACAGTGAACTGAACTGCCAGCATGGAGCAGGTCGCCACAGGCCACATGGATATGGCCTTTCTGATCCAGGAACAGCCCTGAGCCCCCAGCAGGGAAACTGGCCTCCTGACCAGTGTGCGTCTGTTCAGCAACTTCTGTGAGCAGACCAGCACGGAGCACACAGGGATGTACTCCTGAGCAAAACAGCTGCCACCCTGTCCCTACCACTCTGCATCCTTAACTGGGAAGCCAAACAGGAAGCCAGGACTCCTTTGGGGCTGCAGCCAAGGAGAATGTGCCCGTGCACCCAGCCTAGCACCCTGACCGTCACCGCAGGGTGCAAGGACTCGTCCCTCTGAGGCTCTCTAACCACCACCATCACCCCCAGAGACCAGAAACTCTCAGGGACTAGTGTGGTGTGGCCCCACCAGTGTCCATGACAACCACAAGTATGAGAACCAGAAGCAAAGCACCCCAGAGGGAGGGAGGGAAGGACAAGGTTGCCAGGCAAGAGCCCGGGCTGGGAGTGGTGGAGGCTGGCAGTCGTGAGTGCCCCTGTGGTGAGTGCCCCACAGACACCGTCCCCTCAGACAAAGCTGCATCTCCACACTGGGTCGCAAGACACCTTCAGGCTGCCACCACCTCCCACTTTCTGTCCCTCAGCTTTGGTCTTTTGTCACCGCATGCTTCTGTTGACACCCTGGGAGCAATGAAGCCCAGGCAGCTCGCCAATCTTATGACTCCAAAGGAGACGCGAGGAGCTATGTGTTCACAACAAAGGTGTCAAATTTCATAAAATTACTGGGTGTCCACGGCCTGTGG